TCAGTGGGGCCATAATTTCACCCCTGAGACTGCAACAGATACTTTTTATAGGGGTATTATAAATCTAACTAAACAAAACTACCCAACATCATCTGAGCTGGTCTGGCCTAACAGTAAGTATGAAATTTCAGTATGTGCAATTCTGCATCTTTGAGCAGCATCTCCCTTTCTCTTTGATAAAACATGATAGTCTGCATGATTGATATTGTATTGACCACAAAACAATAATTCCATATCCTTTTTCCTATTAAAGGTGTTGGGGTGAAGACAGACTAAAACTGGTAACAGAAAGGTTTTAACCTGATCTCTGGAAAAACCACTTACCATATCAGAGCTGCTGCTTTTCCAAGCAAATTTACAGACAAACTCAGCAGCAGTGTTATTTCTCATGCCCCCAGGGCACAAACTGATCTCATCAGCTGTGGCCCACAGGATATCTACCACATGAAGAAGAGCACTGAACAATTATACTGGACTACATTTGAATCATCTGGTTTTGCTTTCCATGAACAAAATCCACTAAAACAGTGGAGGCCAAACTTTTTGGCAGGTGGGCTGCAAGGTAAGTCCCACACCCTCCCCACATACCACTCTGATCCCCTTCCCCTGGATTTGTTTCTCTGCTCTGTGCCCTACCTACCACTGGGTGCATCTACACAACACACTAAATGAACAGTAGACTAATTCTACTGTGTGCTCGTGCTACTGAGCAGCAGCGCTGGTTATTGTGCATTGAGTTAGTCCTGCTATTACAGGTACTAAAGTTAATGTGCAGTAACAAAGACACATTAATAAATATATAGACATGCCTACTGAGTTCTCTGATCCCTCCTCAGTCTGCTGAAAGGCACACAGAGGCTGCTTGTGCTAACGGTTTTGCTCAAGCCACTCCTGCACTAAACAAAATGCTGACCTGTTCCATTAAGGCAATTCTTATGGGCAGAGAGGTAGATAGTCCCAGGCCCTGATGGCATAACTTATTAAGAAAGCTTTACTCCTATACAGGGATATACAATAAGGCTGGAGTCAGCCTCTTGAAGAAAAGCCCTATAGTACTTCCATTCCTTGGTTTGTATAAAATGACTGTGGGAGGGAGGGGCAGGGAGAGGAGAACGGATAAGGGGAAAGAACATTTTGCTGCTTCAACCACCTATACATTAACATGTATAAAGTAAGTCTTTGCTGCTACAGTATTTACCTTCTAAAACATTAATGACCTATTGTGACTGGAATTATGTGGCACAGAAATATTCAAATAACAAATTCCTTGTAATATATATTTAGATGCTGTTTTCTCCTTATTGCTAACTTACACCTCTAAAATCCAGGGTCCCTGTCAAGCCTGCCCATCAGTGATATGTTAGGAGAAATAACAAAAGCAATGCTGTGGTAGGTATATGCTGTAGAAGACTGGCATCGCTGATTCAAGGGCACACCTAGGTAGTGTGGGGTTTGCTTTGCCAGCACAAGAGTGAAAGCCAGGTTTAATGCCCAAAAGAATAACAGTTTCTACAGCTATATGCACGGGGATACCAGTGCATTTCAAAACAGGGAAGTCTTGCTGGATACCATAAACAAACAATGCTTTATGTAATTGAGCCTTTTGGGAGCATTCTGCCTGTTCAATACCGAGGGCCTAGTTTTCAAAAGAACTAAACCCCCTTGGCTATTCCCAATTTCTGAGGGACTTGTGGGCTAGAGCCAGAGCTCTAATATTAGACATTTCAGTACAGTTTTATTATATCTTTGTTCTCTCCAGGCCTGCCCCATCTTAGCAGTCAGTATCACATAGATATATTTATCTTAGCCAGCTTTCCTTATCTTGGCTTTATCTTAAACTAATCAATAAAATCTAGAGCATCACAGTTGGAAGAGCATCCCGGACTATTAGCAAGACCAATAAAGCCTCATAAGGACAGACCTGCTAGCCACCAGTGGGCAAGTGAATCCTGAAATCTTAGACTCTGATTGGGTTGAGCAAGTCATGCCTTTACATTATTCAGTGTAGTCCTAATTAGCTATGCCACAATCCTAACAAATAGGCTGACATTGTAAACAGGCTTCCAGTCCCTGATTGGCAAGGATTCCCAGTTTTCTCTGATTGAAAATAATCCCCAATTTTCAGTTTAAAAGAAAGTAACACAAAATCCACATTGTTCCATGATTAAAATGACACACCACTAATATATAGACAGTTTTCTGATATATAGATAGGTATTAGTGGTGTGTCATTTTAACCATGGAACAATGTGGATTTTGGGTTACCTTTTCTAAACTGAAAACTGGGAATTTTTTTTTTTAAATTGGAGAAACGAGGATCCCTGGTCATCAGAGTATTCAGCTGGAAATAAGGATTTATTCAAAGTAGGCCTCAATTTTCAAAGAGGGAAGCCTGAGCTGAGGCACCCAGTGTGGTGGCGTTACGTCTGCAGAAGCAGATCAGAGCTGCCAGGTGCACAGTAATTCTGCAAATCCAGCCTCCCTCCCTTGTTCGGGTGTCAGAGGTTGAATGTTGGAAACTGACTTCTAGCCCCCTGCCCCATGTTTGAAAAAACTGTGGCCTAATTCTCAGCCAGATTGGCTGGTTATTCTGCGTATCCCTGTTCTGAGTCATCATTTTCCCTCTAAAGATGAAAAACGACAACATGTCAACCACAGGTGATCAGTCACCTCTCGGTAAAATAGCCTACTGCTCAGTATAGCAGCCTGTGATGGGATAGTGACTCACCCAACATCCTCTTAGAGGCCATCTCCCTGGTAATATCTGGCATCCCAAAAGACCTGGGACAGAGTGATATTTCTGTGCAGCAGGCCCTGTGCAGTCTGTCCTTCCCAAGAAACAGGCTCTGATGTGGTAAAGCTGGTGGCAGCCTGATGAGACTGTTCCATAGCAGCTGAATAGCCCCTGGCTGTGTTTTTTAAAAAGAGGTGATCTCTCCTTGCAGACAGGGTATGTGCAGTTGACTAGTAATGACAGTTACTATACATACTGAACTGGTCTTACTTAATGCCAAGGAGAAACAGGAGCACAGCAATTTCCCCTCAGGAAGATCACTGAAGTAATCAAACCACATCCTTTCAACTCTTCTCTATGGCAAACCCCTTAGTTATTTTGTTTGTGACAAACCTTAAGAATAGCTACAGGAGACCAAAAACTGTAAATCATACATCTGTAAAATGCAACAGGTAAGTACAAAATACAGAGGATGGGAAAAGGGACTGTACCCACCCCAGTATCCCAAGGACCAGATCAGAAACCAAGCACTCACATAGTTAACAAGAGAAAAATGATGCAACTGTACCCTTCATGAAGGAGGCAGCAGAAAGCCTGTGGCCATAGTGGTGGCATACAGCCAATTAAGAAAGCCAGGCGAGGATTTGTCAGTCTTAAGCTTCGGATTGCATAGTTGCACACCACACAATTATTTTGTGTAAATGTGTCAAAAGGAAATTAATTCTAAATCCAATCCCAGCCTAAGATGTTGCTGCAGTAGCCTGATTTTGCTACCACTCATTTTGATACTAAAATGACCTGATTAAAAATGTTCCCAAAGTTCCTTAATTCCACTATGCTAACTTATCCTGTCTTCATAGACACTGACCCCTTCCTGGCAAAAGAATCTACAGTCCACTACTTTGACCCAGAATCCCTCTATTCTCTATTATAGCTATGCCCTGTTCATGACCACTCAAGAACAGCAAATACACAAACACAACTTAGACCTTCCACAACACAGCTGCAGTGAAGTCTTCACACAGTTACAAACAGGTGGGGGGAAGACATCCTGATTTCATTCCCCTGAGCTCTGTCTGACACTTTGTATATGTATTAAAATAACATTATTGAAAAAAAATGTTAATCCTTGCTCTTTTTTTCTTTTTTTTAATACTTTTCCCTGTACCTTCAGAATAGAGATAATGTAGGAAACATAATACATACTCCATCTGCTCCTACTGGAAATGTCTAGTCTCTTAAAAACCAGGGAAAAAAGAGTAATATTTAGCACTGGGTTCAATCCAAACCCTGGCTTTCTCTTGAGTATGTCCCACACTCTGCCAGGAACTGCTCCACATTCTGTGGTGGTGGAGGGGGGTGGAGAAAGGTTGTCCAATGGAGACTACTGTTCATGGGTGCCCCACCTGAGGACACGGCAGTACTCAAGCTGACCAGGTTTTGTGGTCTTTCCATCCTCTACCCCTTCCAGAGATAGACCAGGGCAGAGAGTTCTCTCTCTGGGGGCTATTGCAGGATAAGTTTTCCACTGTAGCCTTTTTGGCTATTGCCCTTCTCCACAAAGTGATAAATATGCTGAGGTAGCAAATTTTCCACTGGTCACCAGGAAATGCTTATGAGAATCATTTCCTTCTAAATCCTTTTCCACTTGTCAGCTCAAATGTGGTTGCTCTTATCCTTCTCCTCACTCCCACCTCACATGGTCATGTTTCTTCACAACAGCCTGCAGGCTTTACAAATGTACAAGCACTTTTAAAGAGGTGCTGCAAATGATATCTTTCAGAGTAAATGCCAAGGAGCCACCCTGAGAAACACGGCAAACAGAAGGCTGAGCCTGATTCTATATGTACTCACACCCCACGAGCACAAGGGACAGATTACACAGCTCCTGTACTTGTGCCTTGGAAACCCAGTCCCATTGCTAGTAGGTGAGTATTAGTGATACCAGTCCTTCCGTTGTGGGGACGAGATCACATGGATCTGCTGTCTGAGGACCAAGTGGCTATGTGTCCCTCCATGAATCCATGAGCCCCTTCCTCCACATAGGGTACACAGAATGTAACATACACAAGTACTCTATCATCTGACATGCTAGTGCAATAACAACATAGCATTTCTAGTATACTTGGGGCTCCCATAGGCACTCAAGGCCATTCAGGACTTGCAACAATGCAAGTACAGCATGATGGTACATGCCTCCTGAACACCATATGATCAACTGTGTTTAATTTTATATAAGCAAACCAGATTTAAAAAAGGTACTTACACAATCTCGTCATTCTGGAATTCAAGCTCTCCACAAGTATCCTCAAAGTCCTCTCCTCCACCTTTGGCTGAGCCTTCAATGGTTTTGTAGGGCACGATAACATTTCCTCGGGCTCCAGATGTTCTTAGCACTTTCACTTCCATGGTTCCAACACTCTCACTGATATGAGTGACAGGCTCCTCAAAGGTAAAGATGCCAGCATGATCATCATCAAAGATGGTCACTGTGGCAGTAGAGGGGGATCCCAGGCAGGCCAACGTTGCTACATGGTTGGCTTCCAGAATGCCCTCATCCAAGGCTTCGGAGCTTACCCTCACATTGCTGAGGTGAACAAGAAAGTTCTCATCCTCCTCAAAGATATCATCATCGATTATGCCGACTCGGATTTCTTTCTGCGTCTCCCCTGGTTTGAAAACCACAGTCCCTTCAGTAAACTCATAGTCAGATCCAGCATTGGCTGTGCCATCTTCTGTTCGGAAGTCAACATACACTGTGTTAGTCAGATCGCCACCCCGCCGAACGAGGGTCAGT